AAATTTTCAGCTTTATCAGTTGGACATTCCGGTTTTTATACTGCTTTTTTTTAATTCAGTAACGCTCTAAAAATGAATATTTCAGCCGCAGTAAAGAATCAACGTTGGCGGATTTTGGTTCTTGACATCCTTTACGATCGGTTACGATGCCTAGACTCTAGAGTACGGAGACCTGTACGATTTCGTCAACTTAGTGAGTTTGATAGGGGCCGTATAGTGGGACTTCGGGAAGATGGACTTTCTTTTCGGGCAATTGCAGTTAGAGTGCAAAGAAGTGTAGACACTGTGGTTAGGTGTTGTCAGGCATGGCTTCGAGAAGGCCGTACGCAAAGGGCAAGGGGCACTGGACGCCGCCGTAGAACAACAGACCGTGAAGATCGCCGCCTAAGACTATTGGCCTTAAAGGACCGTTTCTCCACTACCAGGTCCATTGCAAACGAATGGTTTGCAGAACACGGAAGACCTATTGCATGCGAAGTGTTTACCGACGAATGAGAAGTTTTGGCTTGTTTTCATACCGGCCACACTGGGTCCTCCCTTTAACTCGAGAACACCGACGTAATCGCCTCGAGTGGTGCAGACAACGGTCACTCTGGGATCAGGAATGGAACAGTATTGTCTTTAGTGACGAGTCTCGATTTTGTTTAGGCATGCACGATGGTCGTGCCAGGGTTAGAAGGCGACGTGGTGAAAGGAGGAATCCACAGTTTTTTGTTGAAAGACATGTTCATCACACTGTTGGAGTTATGGTTTGGGGTGCTATAGCTTATGGTTCCAGGTCACCTTTAATCTTCACCAGAGGTAACATGAACGTGCAGCGTTATATCCACGAAGTTCTAGAACCCCATCTTTTACCCTATCTTGACACCCTGGCAGATCCAACTTTCCAACAAGATAATGCCCGACCTCATGTTGCAAGAGTCACAATAGATTTCATTCAACATAATGATGTCACATTGTTACCATGGCCACCAAGATCTCCCGACTTATCCCCAATTGAGCACGTGTGGGATATGATGGGTAGGAGATTGCTCAATTTGCAACGTCCTCCTCAGACTCTAGAAGCACTTCGAAAGTAGTTGGTGGTTGCCTGGAATGAGATACCACAGGAGGACATTGACCACCTGATCAGAAGCATGCCTAGGCGCGTTGGAGAATGCGTAGCACATCAGGGTGCATCCACACATTATTAAAGGTCAAAGGGCTTTAAAGCAGTGCAATCATTTTGAAATTTTTATCATTTACTTATTATGCTTCATTAAGTACTTATACAAAATTTTATTAAAATAAAACCATTTAAACTGGGTGTTCGGATTTATATGTCACTTAGTATAAGTGACATCTTTCTGTTAATGTTTCTCGTCATAAAAATAGTATGGAGCATATGAAATGTGCTCAAAAATGGCACGAGTTAAAGCTGCGTTTGAGTAAAGAAAGCACTATTGATAAGGCACTACAAAAACAGTATGAAATTGAAAAACAGCGATGGCGCGAAATTTTTTCTTTATACTCCAACTACCACGAAGGCCTAAGGCCTAAACACCCATTGGGTACCTTGGGGCTATAGGGGGATACAGGGGAAAGGGGGACGCCACACGGACTCTGGCGGGGGAACACGTGTGCATGCAACATGCACACATTCTGGCTCCGCCCACGAGATCCGCCGGGTGGTACCTCCACGTTCGACAGTCAGAGACCAGCTACCACCTACGGACAATCACAACATCCATAGCCAAGAGAAAAATTTCTCCTGGGACGGGTCTCGAACCCGCACAGCGCACGGCGACTAATCAGGAGACCGAAGAGTCTACTACTGCGGCCACCGCTGCTGCCTATTCATTAATAGACTGATTTATATTGGGCAGTATTTGGCTGGTCGAAATTTAGCTTTTAGAGGTGACAGCTCGAATCTTTATGAATCAAATAATGGAAATTTTTTTAAACATGTTGAAGTGATTGGCAAATTTGATCCAATTCTTATGGAAAACCTGAGCAACATTCGAAGGTCTAAAGAGCTGCGCCGACATTTGCCGCATTATCTGAACAATTACTTCCGAAACGAATTAATTCATTCATTGTCAAGAAATATTCAGCGAGAAATTTTGGACTGCCTCAAAACAGCAAAATATTACTCAATTATTTTGGATGAATATCCAGATGTTAGTCATATTGAACAGCTTACTTCCATAATTCGCTTTGTTTATTGTCATTCAAGCGGAGTTGAAATTAGGGAAAATTTTTTGGGGTTTTTGAAAGTTTTGGATACTACAGGTGAAGGTCTTTTCAACTTTTTAAGAGAAGAAATTTTATCAAAATTTAAAATAGATATTCATGAATGAGAGGTCAGAGCTATAACAATAGAACAATAGTGCTAATATATCTGTCAGGGATGTTGGCCTTCAAACTCAAATCCCAAAATATTACTCCAGATCAATGTTTTTGCCTTTTTCAGCTGTTCAATGTTTTACAGATGGAATAGGTACTTTAAAAAGGAATGTGCCAAACTTAACTTTAAAATCAGTATGTGAAACACGATGGGATAGCAGAGTCAAAGCCATTCGCCCTCTTAAAATTCAATTTCCCGAAATTAATCGAAAATTAAGCTAAGTTTTTATTTTACAATGTTGGACACAGTTATTCAGTCTCTACAAAGTCGCTTTGACGAAATAACTTATTTGGTTCTTTGGATGATCTCCGAAATCTGGAGTCTGATGTAATCAAACGATCATGTATAGATTTGGACTTGGCTTAACAAATTCAACATGAAAAAAATGTATCTAAAGATATTTACGGTCTTGATCTACTGAATGAAATAACATCATACAAAATTCTCATTTTTCAATACTCTAATAAAATTTGAGACTCGCCCATAGGTATTTTAAACAAAGAAAAATCAAGTTCTTGTTCCCAAATTTATTTAAAGCCTACCAATTTCGGTAGCTTCTGGCGAGAGGAGTTTCTCTAACTTGAATCTTATAAAAAATTATTTAAGGACATGAATGTGCAAAGAAAGGCTGTCAAATTTGGCAAATATTTAAATTGAAAATAAAATCTGTGTACTCATTGATCACAATGAAATGATCGATGAGCTTGCAGCTGTGAAAGCAAGACATGTCGTGTTTTGATCAATCTATTATTGGTTACGTACTCACAGTATCTTTTTTGAGTAATGTTTCAAAATGTCTTTGTTAATTTACGCATTTCTACTGTCGTTTCAAACTCCTACTGTATTGCAGTGACCTTTTTTATGTGACATTAAAAAAATCCTTCAAACTGGGTCCTTCTAATTTTCTTATTTATATTAATTGCATTCATGACATATAATATTATAAGAATATGTTATGATATAGGGCATCTTAAATTCAAAACATAGGGACGCACCAAAAATCCTGCACGCAGGCGCTCACCACCCTAGAACCGGCCCTGGATACCAAGACTTAGTTTTTTTATATTTTTCTGATAACTATTATGACTTGGCCTACTCCCGTTTCCAGCTTGATGTCGACTTCTGGAACGCCCTGTATAACTACTCTTTGTTATTATACTAAGTGACATATAAATCCGAACACCCAATTTAAATGGTTTTATTTTAATAAAAGTTGGTGAATGTATTTATCTTACTGTAAATAACAAGTGAAAAAATGTTTAGCCTTATCAGTTGGACATTCCGCAGTAAAGAATCAACGTTGGCGGATTTTGATTCTTGACATCCTTTACGATCGGTTACGATGCCTAGAGTACCGAGACCTGTACGATTTCGTCAACTTAGTGAGTTTGATAGGGGCCGTATAGTGGGACTTCGGGAAGCTGGACTTTCTTTTCGGGCAATTGCAGTTAGAGTGCAAAGAAGTGTAGACACTGTGGTTAGGTGTTGTCAGGCATGGCTTCGAGAAGGCCGTACGCAAAGAGCAAGGGGCACTGGACGCCGCCGTAGAACAACAGACCGTGAAGATCGCCGCCTAAGATTATTGGCCTTAAGGGACCGTTTCTCCACTACCAGGTCCATTGCAAATGAATGGTTTGCAGAACACGGAAGACCTATTGGCATGCGAAGTGTTTACCGACGAATGAGAAGTTTTGGCTTGTTTTCATACCGGCCACACTGGGTCTTCCCTTTAACTCGAGAACACCGACGTAATCGCCTTGAGTGGTGTAGACAACGGTAACTCTGGGATCAGGAATGGAACAGTATTGTCTTTAGTGACGAGTCTCGATTTTGTTTAGGCATGCACGATGGTCATGCCAGGGTTAGAAGGCGACGTGGTGAAAGGAGGAATCCACAGTTTTTTGTTGAAAGACATGTTCATCACACTGTTGGAGTTATGGTTTGGGGTGCTATAGCTTATGGTTCCAGGTCACCTTTAATCTTCATCAGAGGTAACATAAACGCGCAGCGTTATATCCACGGAGTTCTAGAACCCCATCTTTTACCCTATCTTGACACCCTGGCAGATCCAACTTTCCAACAAGATAATGCCCGACCACATGTTGCAAGAGTCACAATAGACTTCTTTCAACATAATGATGTCACATTGTTACCATGGCCACCAAGATCTCCCGACTCATCCCCAATTGAGCACGTGTGGGATATGATGGGTAGGAGATTGCTTAATTTGCAACGTCCTCCTCAGACTCTAGAAGCACTTCGGGAGGAGTTGGTGGTTGCCTGGAATGAGATAACACAGGAGGACATTGACCACCTGATCAGAAGCATGCCTAGGCGCGTTGGAGAATGCGTAGCACATCAGGGTGCATCCACACATTATTAAAGGTCAAAGGGCTTTAAAGCAGTGCAATCATTTTGAAATTTTTATCATTTACTTATTATGCTTCATTAAGTACTTATACAAAATTTTATTGAAATAAAACCATTTAAACTGGGTGTTCGGATTTATATGTCACTTAGTATACATTAGAGAACAATGAAGCTGCACACCACAAAATATGGTACACGCTCATGTTCACGGTAGAATATCGTCAGCTCTTGGAGTATTAAGCTACTAACGTGTATATATTGATAAATCGATTAACTTACCAGAGAATTTCAAGACCTTGTCATTGTTGACCCCCAAGTATATCAAGGGGTTGTAAGAAAATCCATTTTTGATCCTGGATCTTTTGATGGATGCAACTGCATCGAAGTGTTTTTTGTTGTTTATGTCGAGAGCAACTTGAATAAACTTTTCGTCGGGAGTGTTTTTGTATTTACCCCTTGCCAATACGGTGCCAGCTCCAGATTGTAGAAGAAGTGTTACGTTATGTGTTTGTCTAAAAAAGCGACGAGACCACATTTATACACGGTGTTCCAAAAATACGACCGTAAGTCAATGAGAACTGGCACAACCTAGTTCCTATAAGCAAGTCAAAGGTTCAATGAATACAGGGTTACCAGAAGAAGGTGCACCCGCGAAAATTCGTTCAATCTTCTGGATTGTCAAGATGCCGACAAGATCTCAGATCCTTTTTTTTCAGGTGCCTCATTTATTGCTTTATACAGGGAAGTGTCGTACTTTGGCGCAGCTATGGAACAGAGTGTCAAAAAATTGTTTGTAATGACATCGAGTTTTATAATAGCTTTGATACTATTGTAGGTACTTTTATCAAATTTGGTAAGCATTCTATTCATCAAGGTGCATTTTCTGAAGTACAAACTATTTTGTCATTTCTAGCAGAGGCGTTCGTAAAAGTTTTGCACTGAATTTTTTGAACACTTCAAAAATCTGGTACTTACGACGGTTGTCTCAAAAATGAGGTTCAGATAATTCACTGCTGTTTGATACGTAGTTAAAGTTAGCAAAGTTGCATATTTTTCAATGCAAAAATAATTTTTAGCTTTAACAGTCTTGTGCGTACGGGTATTGACTTTTTTAAGAAAAAAATGGTACGCCAATGGTTTGTCGCCAAATAAAAATAATTTTTGAATTTTCCGTTCAATTTAAAACAACTGATCTTTCCTGAATTGTTTTCCTTTGATGCTCCATTTTTGAGTAAAAAAATAAAAACCGATCTATTGTCTAACTTGCAAAACTATTATTAATTTAATTGGAAAAATTAACCACATTACGGTTAATGAACGACAACAACTGACAACATAAACATAACATTAAAACCAACAAAAATTGTTGAAAATGGCCCCCTTCGCTTAGTATGCATGCTTCCGCCCTCCTTCTCATGGAATTGCGCACTCGTTGAAATATCCCTGGAGTGTTTTTTATTCTATCACAAGCTTTTTCTCTTAATTCCTCTACAGTGTTAATGGGACTTGTGTACAATAGTGTCTTAAGATAGCCTCACAAAAAGAAAGCTAAACTGTTGAGGTCTGGGGACCTTGGTGGCCATTCTTGGGGCCCACCGCGGCCAATCCAACGATTTGGATAAGCAGTTTGTAAATAATTACGAACCGCTACGCTGAAATGCGCTGGTGCACCATCATGCATGTACAACATATTGTTTCTTATTACTAACGGAACATCATCAAGCAGCAAAGGCAACTATTGTTGAAGAAAAGTGAGGTAAGCTTGTCCCTCAAGTCGTCCCGGCAATAATAATGGGCCAATAAAGTCGTTGCCAATAATTCCTACCCATACTTCAACCGAAAATTGGTGTTTGGTTACCGCATAGCGATTTTCTTCGGCCCACAAATAATTATTGTGGAAATTCTGAATGGCATTTCGAGAAAGATTAGCGTCGTCCGTGAACAGAATCATTGATTCAAATTGAGGATTTTGTATAATTTTTTTAAGATACCTCTGACAAAAGGTCACACGCCTTGGAAGATCAATGAGAAGTAATGCCTGTACTCTTAAAATATGGTAAGGGTATAGCAAAAAATCCACTAAAATTCTCCAAAAAATTTGATGGCAAATATTTAAGTATCTAGCGATCTTCCTCGTACTCGTTTCAGGATGTTCTTCGACTTTGTGCAGCATTGCTTGCTCAATTTCAGGTGTTCTCACACTTAGAGGTCTACCTTCAGATGTTCCGTTTCGGTCAGAATCAGTTTCAACAAGACGACGATGAATATTAGAAAAGGTTCGACTATCTGGCAAAGCACGATCGGGATATCTCTGGTGATAAATCCGTCTGGCTTGCTCACCATTACCGTCGGCAAGGCCATATACGTAATGCATTTCCGCCATTTCTGCATTTGATTAATTTACCATTATTAACAAGATTGTCAAAACTAAATAATGAAAAAGATGTCACTGCGAAGAGTTCTGAATAACATATTCCAGAGCAACTAGATCTTTATTTCTAAATTGCATGCTTCAATTATCACATTAATTTTCTGGGACAATAGAAGGGTTTTTATTTTTTTACTCAAAAATGGCGCATCGAAGGAAAACAATTCAAAGGAGATCATTTGTTTTAAATTGAACGGGGAATTCAAAAATAATTCTTCTTTGGCAAAAAACTATTGTACCATTTTCTTAAAGAATATCGAAGTCAATACCCGTACGCACGCCACTGTTAAAACTAAAATATGCAACTTTATTAGCTTTCACTACGTACTAAATATCAGTGAAATATCTAAAGCGGTTCTGAAAATATTAATTAATTTCCATTTTTATCCTAAAACTTTAAAACCCCGAGTTTTTGTAAGGAATCATTTTTGGACGATAGTTTATAAAGCAAACTAACATTAATTTTTAATGTAAATTCACACCCTCAAATATTCGCATATCATTAAGGAACACCCTGTATACATATCATAATAAACTCTTAAAAAACTTCTGCGTACCTGTCAAGTGTAAGATTAGCAGAGACAAGCCTCTTTACATCAGATCCTGGCGTGTCAAAAGTCAGAGAGACGACACTGGCTTCTTTATGCTGTACCCATTTATATTCAAACACGTAATCCTTAGCCGTTGGATCGGATTTGTGTAGGTAACATCTGAACCCTGCCGGTCCAGCTACCAGGAAGTAAGGGATATTGTCCATCCTTGTCACGTTCATGTAATTGTACTCGGTGCACACTTTCAATCCGATCGTTTTGTCTATGGTTGGCCATGAACAGATGGACATGTCGACCCTCTTGCTTGAATCACCTACTTGGGGCTCCTCTTTGTCCCCGCGTTTCACTAATAGCTCGGAGCTGCAAAAATTGGTCATTTGGTATGTTAGACAAATAATAATAATAATTATTATTGGAATAACGTACACAGAATCGTTATCTTACAATAAACATAAAATACACGTGACAATGAAAAAACTGCAAATAGGTAAGTACACGAATGTTGAACAATGCAGGTATTTCAATATAGTTAAATCTATGAATTTAAATTTCTCTAGATGTAAGATTCGGCATCGCACGTCCTATTTGATGAGAATTTAGTTATAACAGGGGATTTCAACATAGCTAACTACACTTCTTATGCTAATAGTCATGGACGCAACGCAAAGTTGGTATCGTTGAACAACTTTGCTGACGGTCTTGCTATTAATCAGTTTAACAATATTTCAAATTCTATGGACAATACCCTTGATTTAGTTTTCTGTAGTGGTCTGTGTGAGGTTGAACATTCGTGGGATCCGCTGCTAGATGAAGACCCATATCACCCTGCCCTGAATATTTGTTGTAATGTCAACAGCAGTCTCGTAACTAAGCATAATTTTCCGGTTTCATTTATAAATTCTTATAATTTCCGCAAAGCCAACTTCACCCAATTATATAATTTAATTTCAGACATGGATTGGGCTGCTTTAGATGGCTTTCATGACGTGAATGAAGCGTGTGAGTTCTTTTATAATAAACTGTACAATGCTTTTGATACCTGTGTTCCAAAATATGTCCGAGCAACGAAACGTAAATACCCACCCTGGTTCAATTCAGCAATAATTAAGCTTATCAAACGCAAGGAGAAGATTCACCGATCTTACAGACGCAACAATGATCCTAAAACGTATCAGATATTCAGGGAACTTAGATCAAAAATTAAGATAGATTCAGATGAAGCATACAAAATATATGTCAGGCAAGCTGAGAACGAAATACAAAGAGATTCGAATAAATTTTGGGGCTTCTTAAATTCTAAGCGAAAATCAACAAACTTATCAAGTAGGATGATTTACAATGGTAATGAACTTTTGGAACCGAACGACATATTAAATGCTTTTGCGGATAACTTCTCCAAATACTACTCGTCTTCATCAGCCACCGAAGAAACTGATGACTTTTTAATGAGCAATGAACAACCACTCAATATTACTAGATTTGAGGAGGATGAAGTTGTCTTAGCCTTGAAGCAAATAAAACCTAAGATGACTACCGGACCGGATAATGTACCAGCTTTTATTTTGCGTGACTGTGCCTCTGTGTTGGCGTGTCCTTTGACCATTTTATTCAACTTGTGCCTTACCACCTGCACAATTCCAGAATTATGGAAATTGTCTAAAGTATGTCCAATACACAAAAACGGCACGGACTGATGTATCAAATTTTAGACCTATATCAATATTGTGCAATTTTTCAAAAGCTCTAGAGATATTAATATATAACAGACTATATCATCATGTCAGCAGAAAAATATGTGTTCAACAACATGGTTTCATGAAAGGGCGCTCAACAGTATCAAATCTGATGAACTTCACACAGACCGTGGCAGAAAACATTGACAGAGGATTACAAACAGATGTGGTCTACGCAGACTTCTCCAAGGCTTTCGACAGAGTTGATCACAGGATGCTATTGCATAAGCTGAAATCTCATGGATTATCCAATCCTTTAATACTATTTAAGTCCTACCTCACTGGAAGAAATCAATTTGTGATGTTTAATGGCATCAGATCGTCGAAGTATGTAGCCAATTCCGGAATGCCACAAGGCAGTAACCTAGGGCCTTTATTGTTCGTCATATATGTGAATGACATAGTCAATGCTGTTGGCGAGAATTGTTTACTTTACGCTGATGATCTGAAGATGTTTTGTCGTGTAGTTGATGAATCAGACTGTGATCAACTTTTAGAAAATCTGGTCAGGTTGGATGCTTGGTGCTCACAAAACAATCTGTCATAAAACATCAATAAATGTTACGTAATGTCTTACACTTTGAAGAAAAATCCTCTGTTATTTGACTATACCCTGTCAGGTAGCTCTATTCAGAGGACTTCAACTTTATGTGACTTAGGCGTGACATTTGACTCCCAACTAACATTCGTCAAACACATTGACAGCAAAATTTCCGAGGCAAACCGCATGTACGGCTTTATTGTAAGAAACTGTCGTGACTTCACCCAGAGTACCACCTTGAAGTTGCTGTATTATGCATATGTTAGGTCGAAGCTTGAGTATGCATTGCTAATTTGGAATCCGCATCATATTATTCATATAAGTAGGCTTGAATGTGTTCAAAGACGTTTCTTAAAATATTTGTCACTGAAAGTGGATGGCGTTTACCCGCCCATAGGTATACCTCATGATTCCTTACTTGAAAAACATCTAATCAGCAGTCTTGAAGCAAGGCGCACTTGCCAGTCAGTGATTTTTCTATTTAAGTTGATCAATAATGCTAGTGATGATTTAGCTTTCTTGGGTCAGTTATCATTCAACGTACCTAGGCTGACATCCCGACAAAACGTTACGTTTTATCTACCTGCGGCACGGACAAATTATTTACACTATTCCCCTTTACATGCGATGTGTAGGAATTACAATTCTGCAAGTAACAGGATTGATATATTTAACTGCAGAATTGCAGACATAAAAAATACTATTAAGTAACCAGCATGTATCTTTTACACTTTGTAGTCTATTACTTATTACTTATTATTGTCTTTTATATCTGTGTTATGTTCTGTGTTTGCTCACCCTGTAATTGGTATTTACTGTAGGGTGTTGTAATGAATAAATTAAAAAAATAAAATAAAATAAATCATTCAGACAACTTTTGTACACGCATAATATACATACATTGCATTGAGCTCAAGAATGATTTTTAATGTCTACAAGTTTATGGATCGAGTTCCTTGGTTGTATAATCCATGACTTGTATTCTCGTACACATTGAACTCAAGCTATCAAACAGATTTAGATTCCCCTGTATAACATAATGAAACAGCTATTTTCAGTCTTTAGTTTTATATAATTTGATTAATGATTTTTTGGTATATTTGTCAGTGTGATATTCAAAAAGGTGATGTTTCAAATTTGATGTATTTGCTATTTTCCTTCAAAGAAGTACCTGTATGTTTCTTGTATAGGGCAGTATCAATTTGGTCAGTCTTTAGATCAGTCACTTCGTCAGAATATTCGCAGGCAGCACCACTTTATTTTTGACATTCTCGTAGAGTATTATTAGTTCTTGGAAACGAAATATACTAAGTGACATATAAATCCGAACGTCCAGTTTAAATGGTATTATTTTAATAAAATTTTGTATAAGTACTTAATGAAGCATAATAAGTAAATGATAGAAATTTCAAAATGATTGCACTGCTTTAAAGCCCTTTGACCTTTAATAATGCGTGGATGCACCCTGATGTGCTACGCATTCTCCAACGCGCCTAGGCATGCTTCTGATCAGGTGGTCAATGTCCTCCTGTGGTATCTCATTCCAGGCAACCACCAACTCCTCTCGACGTGCTTCTAGAGTCTGAGGAGGACGTTGCAAATTGAGCAATATCCTACCCATCATATCCCACACGTGCTCAATTGGGGATAAGTCGGGAGATCTTGGTGGCCATGGTAACAATGTGACATCATTATGTTGAAAGAAGTCTATTGTGACTCTTGCAACATGTAGTCGGGCATTATCTTGTTGGAAAGTTGGATCTGCCAGGGTGTCAAGATAGGGTAAAAGATGGGGTTTTAGAACTTCGTGGTTATAACGCTGCGCGTTCATGTTACCTCTGATGAAGATTAAAGGTGACCTGGAACCATAAGCTATAGCACCCCAAACCATAACTCCAACAGTGTGATGAACATGTCTTTCAACAAAAAACTGTGGATTCCTCCTTTTACCACGTCGCCTTCTAACCCTTACACCGACGTAATCGCCTTGAGTGGTGCAGACAACGGTCACTCTGGGATCAGGAATGGAACAGTATTGTCTTTAGTGACGAGTCTCGATTTTGTTTAGGCATGCACGATGGTCGTGCCAGGGTTAGAAGGCGACGTGGTGAAAGGAGGCATCCACAGTTTTTTGTTGAAAGACATGTTCATCACACTGTTTTAGTTATGGTTTGGGGTGCTATAGCTTATGGTTCCAGGTCACCTTTAATCTTCATCAGAGGTAACATGAACGCGCAGCGTTATATCCACGAAGTTCTAGAACCCCATCTTTTACCCTATCTTGACACCCTGGCAGATCCAACTTTCCAACAAGATAACGGCCGACCACATGTTGCAAGAGTCACAATAGACTTCTTTCAACATAATGATGTCACATTGTTACCATGTCCACCAAGATCTCCCGACTTATCCCCAATTGAGCACGTGTGGGATATGATGGGTTGGAGATTGCTCAATTTGCAACGTCCTTCTCAGACTCTAGAAGCACTTCGAGAGGAGTTGGTGGTTGCCTGGAATGAGATACCACAGCAGGACATTGACCACCTGATCAGAAGCATGCCTAGGCGCGTTGGAGAATGCGTAGCACATCAGGGTGCATCCACACATTATTAAAGGTCAAAGGGCTTTAAAGCAGTGCAATCATTTTGAAATTTTTATCATTTACTTATTATGCTTCATTAAGTACTTATACAAAATTTTATTAAAATAAAACCATTTAAACTGGGTGTTCGGATTTATATGTCACTTAGTGTAGATCAAATAAACATTCTAACCTGCATTGTTAGGAGGGCGATGTAGTGTTGAAGGAGATATTCAATTAACTGACAGTCGCTTTGACTGTTAGTTTATTGAATAGGGCAGATGTATCTTTGATGTTCATTTGAAAACGTCCCACCGCGGATTTATCGATTAAAAGAAAAAACTCCGAGACACGTCAAGATATTTGACAAGGGGGAAAAATTTTTAACCAAAAACTACTTCACCACCTTTTACCCTCTGCTCCCCAGGGTCATCCTCTTAAAAATTTCGAATGACAACGGGTGGTGCGTAATATCTTGTTCAAAAGGTCTTTCGAGGTCCTTTATTTTGATGTTTGATTTTT